TAATATTAAAAGCTATTTAATGAAATGCTTACTAGTCACTAACGTGTTTTTTTTTTTTTTTTTTTTAAATACTGTTATTCACCCAAACTTTGATGTCAGAGTTAATTTGATAAAACTCCCTGGTTACTCATGCAGAAAGCATAACCAATTACAAGAGAACTTAAATGTTGGCACATTTTTCTTTATATTTTTTTTTTTTTTTTTTTTTTTTTTTTTTATTATTCCTAAAGTATAATTAGATTATAACATTTTATTCTCTCATACATAAAATATCTAAAGGTGTGAACATTTTACACCAGAAAAAATTTCATCAGTCCTTAAATTCTAAATGGTGGTGGGTATATATTGTCATGAGTAAAACCATCTTTTGTCTCTAAAATGGATTGCTTGAATACTGGCTGCTACTAGTTTTAAGTTACTAAATATACAGTTTATTAAGCTTAAAAAAAAAAGATTATAGTCAAAATTTCTTACTATACTATTTAATTTTACATGGATTTGTGCTTTTTTTTTTTTTTTTTTTATAAATAATGAAAATATTTCTATCCAAATTAAGAATTTGACAGTTATTACTGACCGTTTTATTGTTGTGAGCTTCATAATTTTCTGCTTATTAATTGCAGTTTTTATAGAATGAATTCATTATCGATTCTTGACTGCAGATACCATTTGTTAACCCATATCCTCTTTATATCAAAACTAATACTTTCTTTTTTTTCCATATATCTACACTTTAATTATAAACTATAATTTGGGGAAGTGAAACTTTCACTGAAATATGTTGGAAAATTTTCCAGGTTTTCATCTGGAATCCTGAAAATATGAATTTTAAGCAAAATTATCACAAATGAGATGGACAATAATACCAATACCTAAGGATGTTCAAGGCTTGAAATACATATTTTATATATTTAAAATAAATTACATAACACTTAAGAGTTCATTGCAGCACATGGTTTGTGAACCACTGTTGTCAGTTATGTGCCATGCATGATACACACTTAGGCGATCATGTATCTTTTGATACATGACTGACGAGGCAGATTTTTTTACCACAGTAGGTTGCCATTTCTTTCTGCGGTAGACCACTTGCCATCCAGGGCTATAAAACCAGGTCTGTCCTGCTATTTAACCATAGCTTGGGGGGGGTCATACCTTTCCCAAGAGTATTAGCACATAAATGAATGTAATGGATTCAACTGGAATTTGAACTCAGCTCTCTGATTCCTCAATCTGAGCTGCTACCCATTACTCCACTGTACCTCCTCTTTACAGTACCCTATTGTAACACCTCCCCTCTTAACATGCCCTCTGTTGCTTGAAGATTGAATATCTATATTTCTGTATTGATTTTATTCTCCCTTTTTCTCTAGGTTAAAACTCTTCTCTTTTTTTTTTTTTTTTTTTTTTTTTTTAAAGAGAAAGTTTATTCAGCAAATGTCACATCATGTTATAATTCAATTTACTCTTTCTTTAGTGTGTACATTATGTCCTGCTATTACCTCAGGTCAATAATAGACTGTTCTCTTTTGATTGTGATGAAAGACAAAAGAAAAAGAATAAAAGAGATGCAGTTTGGTTTTAGTAAGAAAAAGAAAAGAAGTGAACATAGGGAGTAGCAATAATGCTCACCTGCATTTAATGTCTGTTACAGTAAAATGGAAAACCTTACCAATTTTAAATCTTTTCATTTGTACCCTCTTACTTTAAATAATGACCTGGATTCATAATTATGATTGTTATTGCAATATTTTGTTAAATTTTTAAGCTTAAGATCTTTAAAGTGATAGAGTATTTTATAGCCATTGATCTCATAAGGAGCTTATTTAATCAATAGATTGAGGCTTATGATTCATCACAAAATTCAAATAGGAAAACATGAAATTTTCGTGGAAACTGCTGGTACTTAAATTGATTGACATACATGATTAACTTTTTGACTTTTTTTATTTTTTTTTCAAACATTTTAAAAAAGATCAAAAAATATAATTTAATAAACTTTTCAAAAGACGCATACCAAGAACGATAAACTTTTTTGTGATAACCTGTCGTCTTCATTTTGAAATACAGATGTTCTTTTTGTTAATCTATGGATATCATTTTGAGTAAAATTACTTAAATGAAAATATCCAATATTTCTACAATGAATTGTTTTATCACATTGTTCATCTAAAAAAAATATCCCTAAGCAGTATCTAAAATGTTTGACTGTGTTCATCTTAACAGATGAATAGCTTGACAAAAAAAAAAAAGATCCAAGTTGAGACTTCAGTAGGTAACACAGCACTGATTTTCAAAAAGGAAATCAAAACTGAGACAAATGAATAATACAGACTTAACATTTTCGGGACCCTTTTTAATTAGTTATCAAATTACTGTCTGGGGCTCCCAAATTAATCGGAACATAACAAGTGTATGTTGTTAAGAATTTGTTGGTATTTCCTCTGAAGTGTACTTTTATTGCCCACTAATAAAATCTTATTTAAAGGTGAAATGATTTGTCATTTTTATTACCTTTTGAAAAATTTTAGACCAGGTAGTAATTTGATACTCTTCGGGTCAATAATTAAAGATATTCTCACAAAACGGGTAGGTATGTAACTTAGTTTTTATTAGATAGGATTAATGTTTTTAAATAATTCTGACATTTTATTGAGGAATTATTAAATTTTATATAACAATGAGCATAAACTATTTCAATCAAAAAATATAACAAATTTTCATGAATTTATCCTATACCGATGACACAACCGCTTATTGATCATATAAAGATGATGTTATTGGGAATGTTGTTGCTTACTGTATCCTTAGAAATTCAAAATAAATGAAATAACAAAACCAATTCTATATCATGTTTTTACACCACACGTCCCCTAAAAGGGAAACCATTGTTTTGTTTACATTTCATTATTTGATCTCTTGCGAATACTGATTCTTCTTTTATATCAAAACAGTTACAAACAGCTTGGTGTACTAATGACCATTTACTTCTACATCATCAATAATCACAAAATACTGCTAATAACCATACAATAATAGTACATTCCATTACTGTGAATGCAATAATAACTTGATGTTTACATTTTTTCGGCTGAGCTTGCAAGTTGATTTCATTGATATGGAATTGTTCTTTGAATAGGCAATTTATTATGACGTTATGCCAGTAATATATAAGGTAGAAATGGTTTTATTACTTTTATTATCAGTTTATTTGCTAATGTGAATTATTTTCATGTATGTTATTGGGCCAAGGTTAGCCTACTGACAAACGTTACTTGGAATTTAAGGTTTCTTTTTTAGAATTGTAGCATAAGACGGGCCCCAAATTTTAAGGGTGATTTGGGGATTTAAAGGTCATGATATAGGCAAAAATATATGGTAATTAATATCTTCTGAATAAATATTTCAAAATGGGAATATATCAAATTTACTACAAAAGAAATTTGACAACCTGCATTATGTTTGAACAAAGAACGCCTCTAAATTGAAATTTGTTAAAATCATAACCTTCACAATCAAAACACGGTAAGTGTGTAAGAAATTAATTACCAAACTGTGTGGTGCTGAAATGGGGGCGGCTAGGTATGCACTATGACCATTTTTGGTGAATCACGTGATCAATATTGACCAGTTGCAAACTACCTCTGAAAAATCACATGATTGGAATTAACCAGTCGGTCTGAATCATAGCCGGGGGAGGAATTTAGCAGCACCACTATTTAGTCAGGTGCACAGTCATCAGGGCCAGAAGTAGTCAGACTATAATGGATCATAATGATTCCCAGTATTAATTACCTTACCAGACAGAAATACAAAGACCTTACCTAAACCAGTGGACCCTAATATTTACACTCACTGCATCAACAGTAGTGTATATTGATTAAACGAAAATGGTATTGTTTAGAAAAGAGTGGACTTTGTTAAAGTTGTTTATTATACCACTGTAATCCCACTAGTACAGTTTATTTCATCATGTTCCAGAGATCCAGCAGGTTTATTGGCTATATCTTTTCCGGAATCTAAATATCACAATATGACCAATAGAAAATTGCTGAATTGACTATCAGTAGGAAAGAAGTGATGATTCAGCCACCCAGAAGAGACAACTAGAAATTAAGGTTTTTGTGACTGAGACAGTTATTCACACTATTTACATGTGGGTTATTGTCCTCATCTTTTGTTGTTATCACAAGACTTTGGTTGTTGTGCTCTCTGGCCTTCATCAGATGTATACCAGTCCAGATAACCTTCAGGGAATTCTGAACAAAACCTTTTATTTAATCTATGTGGGTAGACTCTACTCGTTCAACTACCCATGTCTTGGGATATCTGATCTAGTTCTTATTTTTAGTACTGCTAACTCTGTTTCCACTGAGTCCAAGTATACACCTGTCCCAAGGATTGAACTCTATTACTATATCACCAAATTCACAAACCAACACTTAGACAGTTGTTATCTAGAATCTAAATGGATGAAATGATGAACATGCAACATTAAGAGTTCTGAAACTGTTATTTGAACAATAGTCAGCACAATCAGTATTATGACTGAAATGTTTGCCAATCACTCAATACAAAATCTTGTGGGTATGTGACAATGTTGCAGTGTAACACAATTGGCTATTTCTTATGCAAAATGGAACGATCTGCTTAATCCTACACACCAATCTCTGTAGGGTATGTCCATTGTAACCAGATTCAAATTGTCACATAAAAGAATAAATGACAGAACTTTCATGGAAGAAAGAAGACTAAAATATTCAGAATGAAAATATGTGCTGCCAATTGTAATACTTTCTTTCTTAGTTGTTTGTTTATCTATTTCATTGTGTTATGCTGCTATGAGCTTTTAATTAAATTTTTCTAACATTGGGTGAATGAACCCCTTGCTTCATGGAGTAAGTTTTAACTTCAATCATTTTATATATTTTAGGTGACCTTCAGATATGGCTATCCATGGAGCATTTCTGACAATTGGAGCCATATTTGCTATTGCAATTATGATCTTCAATTCTTCTATCCATCGTATTGAGGAAGGTAGGTATTTTTTTTCTCTACCCCCTCTCCTCCCCCCCTACCCTCCCTCTCTCCCACCTACCTATCCCTCTCCCCCTACCCCCTCTCTCTCCTCTCTCTCCCCTCTTCCTCATTCCTCCTTTTTTTTTTTAATGTCAGTTTTACCCCAACTTTCAAATATTAACACATTTAAATTTTGAAGCCATTTGAAAAGATCTTTTAAGGTTACATAAAACAAAACTCTGAAATGAGTAAAAAAAAATATATATATATATATATTCAAATTCAACCATAAACATACTGGAAATTCATCATGACCCTTACCAAAAAATAACTTAATAAAACTCAAGAGTCATTTTCATTGAGAGTTGGTATTGGCATAATTTAAGATACTTTCTTTCATATGTGATACAAAATATCTATTTTTAAAAGAATGTATTTGTAATTTTCTATTGCAGCTCTGAAATTCCTCCAATAAGGGTTGTTTTTTTTTTTTTTTTTTTTTTTTTTTTTAAATAAATGAAGATTGGTTTTAAGAATTGAAAAATGTAAAGTTTAATACTATTTTTTGTGTTAACATTAGAAGACTACTGTGATTATGACCATTCATAGGTTACTGTGAGTAAATAAACATTACTTTCACTGTTTTAAGCAAAAAAATGAGTACTATTTTTACAAAATCTAGTCAGTTATTCCTTAATTTTACTAATTTGCTTTGAAACAAAAGGCAAATACTAGATTTTTAAGAGGTTTTTAAATTTATTTTCATTTGTTGTCAAGAATGGAGATTGGGTGAATCACCATGGCAAAGTTTTAAAAATGTCTTAAAAGGTTAAACCCTTGTTTAAATACATAAAATTTAAAGGAAATAAGAATAGTTGAGGCTAAGCAATTAGTTGTCAGTTTGGACAAAAATAAAATGTTCCCTTATTTTGTCCAAACTGTCAGCTTGAATCTATTTTAAAAAATAAATAATTGTTTTATACAGTTTTAAAATGCATCATTAAAGAAAATATAAAAAAAAGATTTAAATTGTAATATCCCTCAATGAAACAAGTCTGATTGAAAATGGAATTCAGCTGGTAAACCTGATTTTTTGCATGAAATGAACACGGTATACCCTCTTTTTGATTGGTATGCACCATAAGTTATGTGGGCACGGAGATATGAAACCAAGTGGGTATTAAAGATGAAGCATTCCTCTACAAGGAGGGGTAATTCTAATTTTTTTAAGTGTAGAATTTTTCTGGTGTTTAATCCACTAGTTTTCAAACTTGGAACTTTTTTGTGAAAGACAACTTCAAACTTTATAGTTTTGCTACCAAATTGACAAAAGTCCTTTTTTCTTTAAGATGAGACTAGGTAGGTGTAGACAGACACAACTCTGAGTGCAACTAATTTGAAAAACACTACTATGAAATTGTCAACTTTGAAAATATAGAAAATTGCCATTTGTCATTGAAATAATGACCTAATTTAAAGAGACATGGAATAAAAACTAATCATCACATGAAAAAGAATTGTATCTTTAGAGAGATTAAATTTTATTTACATACTAATTTTATCAAAATAGCCTAAAAAATAAACAAGATGTCAGCAGTTAAAATGGAAGGAAATTTCACTATTTTGACACATGTCCACACTAGGGTAGTTTGGGACACCGATTATGACTTTTTTGTGTTTTGTGTGTAGAACTTTGTAAAAGTTAAAGTACAATATTTCATTTATATACTTATATATTTTGATAATTATGTGTGTGTGTGTGTGTGGGTTTTTTTTTTTTTTTTTTTTTTTTTATAATAATAAATTTTGTTTTTTCTTTTATAGGTCATGTAGGTGTATATTATAGAGTGAGTATATATTTTGTAATAAATTTGATATATATTTTTTTTACTTCCTGTATTTCGATTATGTGATTTTTTTTTTTTTTTTTTTTCCATTATTAGCTTATCACCTCCTTGCTGTACATTTGTCACAAGGTGGGGGGGGGATAATTATGACACATTCAGGCCCATCATGAATAATGGCACTTAAGTTTTCTCTTATTTCTCTTTGGGTTTTACGTATCAGTCTTCATTTATCCCAGTTTTAATTTGACACTTCTTTCCAAACGATAAACATTTTGTAATTTTTTTTTTTCTTTTTAAAATAGAGAACTACAGGGAAATGCATAAGGAGATATAACACTAATGAAAAAGAAAATGAGCACACAAAACCTATTGTATTGATTATACATACATATTACTCAAATATCCAAACCATTTGCCCTAGGCATTCCCACACTTCTCTTTACCTGCAAAATTATTATTATTATTGTTGTTGTTATTTATTAAAAAATAAAAATTATAGTAAATTTATTAGAATAAAAAATTTTTTTGTTTTGTTTTTTTACCACTGATATTATCCTTCTCCTACTACCTTACTATCACACAAAGTATAAAAAGAAAATGTCTGCAACTCTAGTAACTGTGCATTGTGCCATACAGGCATTTATATATATATATATATATATATATATATATATATATATATATATATATATATATATAAGCAAATATATGGATATAGATCTGACAGTATGAAGAAAAATATATATAAAAAAAAACAAAATCATATATACAATTATGCTGTTTTAATGTTAATATGTCAACGTCGGACGTTTCGGTCTAATAAACCATCTTCAGGACATATTCATGAATTATAACATTATCAATAGAACATGACAAAGACGATGTACATAAGAACAAGACTTATCCAAACAAATACATTGTCTTTGTCATGTTGTATTGATAATGTTATAATTTATGAATATGTCCTGAAGATGGTTTATTAGACCGAAACGTCCGATGTTGACATATTAACATTAAAACAGCATAATTGTATATAAGGATTTTTGTTTGTTTTTTCAGTACATATTTTTCTTCATATATATATATATATATATAATGGCTGGCCACTACTCTTTTCTGAGTATATTTGTCTACCAGGGTAGCTAGCCAAACCCTATTGCAGGTTCCTGCTCAACCCACAGTGTCCAACTGTGGTTAATACTGCAAGTATGCTGAGTGGGCAATAGTCTAAGTTTCTGGGTGGGGAGAGAGCACATAACCTGGAGTGACCAATTTTTGTACAAGGTCAGTATGCTCAAATCCTCATTGACTTTGTGCTATCACAAACATCAGCAACTTCCAAACTCAAAAGGCTTGTGTTAACCTGTGGTATTCTCTGTGTGTGTGTGTGTTGTTTTTTTTTTTTTTTTTTTTTTTTGCACTCTCTGAATTGTGTTTGGCTCCACAAATCAATATAATCAGGAAATCTCCACCCTGATACATTGACCCTGCTGAGATCTGAACTCTGATCAGAAAGCAAAAATGTGTTGTTTTTTTGGGGGGGGGGGTCATATTGTGATAAACTCTACAATTTGGTGGATTTATGGTTGGTTTGTTTCATTTTTACAACATATCACGTCTTACTTGATTATTTAATGTTGATTCTCTATGTAAATAACCATTGACTATGTTTATAATCTGTATACATTTACTTGGTAGGTTTTTTTATTTTTATTTTTTTTGCCTTATATACATAAGATAACTGACATTTTAGTTGCAATGTTAAACCTATGTACCTATAAAAAAAAATGGTTTGTGAAAGGGGAGGGGTGCTTGACACCATTATTACTCCCTCTTTTGATTTTAAGAATTTGATGTGGATAATGATGATTTACTGATACAACTCCTATTAATTAACCCATATCTGAGGGGGAGAAAAGATGAATTTATACCTTTCCCAATGGTATTAGCACATAAGTGAATATAAAAAAATTAGACTGGAAATTGTTTGTGGCAGAGAGGCTTTTACCTTTCTACAATGGATGCCATCAGCATTTAAGTCTCGCTGACAAGGCATTTATCACAACCATCAGCAACTTCCAAACTCATAAGGCTTTTTTCTTCACTTTCCAAAGTTGTGTTTGGTTCCACAGGTCGATATTATTAAGAAGTCTCTGCCCTGATAAATTGACCCTGGTGAAATTTGAACCTGAATCAGAAAGCAAAAATGTTTTTTTTGTCATATTGTGATAAACTCTACAATTTGGTGGATTTATAGTTGGTTTGAATTTTACAGCATATCACTTGTTACTGGATTATTTAATGTCGATTCTCTATGTATCTTCATTGGTTTTGAATCATTTGAATCTGTAGACATTTACTTGGACTTTTTTGTGGGTGTGAGGCTCTTACAATGGATGCAGTTAGCATTTAAGTCTTACCAACAAGGCAGTTAGTGGATTTTGTTACAGCAATCTGTTATACTAGTCTTAGTATCAAATATGCAATATATTTGGAAAACCTTGAACATTATTTAGCCACAAGGGATTAACTTGTCTCGTCTAAAAACTTTAATAGCTGACAACATGGACATAACACTCAGTCTCTGATCAGATAGTTGTTTCTATATGATTGTTAATGACAAGTAATATTGACTCAACAATATGCAACCAGGTTTACCAGAATATACAGGCTCTATGTAATGGAATGACCTGTCACCCCCATGAGTGACTACACTATAGGTATCCATAAGGCAACGGACTACAGGAGTCGATCTGAGATCTGTTGAGTACGACTCCGACTTACACGAGAACTATCGACCTTCCAATAGCAGCAATCACTACTGGTTTGACTTGTGATGATTGTGCGCATAACTGTTACCTTATTTCTTACTTCTTTACAATAAACCTTTACTTATTTTATCCACTGTGTTTGTCAAGTATATATTCCTATTAGCATGGAATATAACAATTACCTTTTAATAATAAAGTTATAGTCTTGTTGTTAACATAAAGTAAAACAAAACCTTGAATGCCCACAATGCATTGCATTATATACATAAGATAATCATCATGTAATCAACATTTTGTTTGGTTATGTTTTTATTAAAAGATCTTATCAGAAAAATAGTTTCTCCATTCTGTTTTGTAAAGGTTAATTGGCAAAATCTTTACATCAAGGTTTTCACCGATTCCACAAGTTCTAGCTTGATCTTATTGGTAGGTGGCGAAGCTTTGTCTTGATTTGTAATTTTTAAAATTTATTTTTATTTCCCCTTCTTAGTGCATAATTTATGCTTAATAAATATTGCTAATATGGGGCTAAGGCCAGAATCTATAACACTTATATGGCATTAGATTTTCCATTAAGCATTACTTTTTTTTTTTTTTTTTTTTTTTTTTTTTAAACAAACTTTAAATGGATTTCACTTTGTGTTTTAGGGAGGAGCCCTGCTGTCAGCCACAAGTGAACCAGGCTACCATTTCATGTTACCATTTATTACTTCATATCGATCAGTCCAGGTAAGAAAATACATTATTATATAACTTTTTTAAAAGTGCTTAACTTGATCAACATTTACCTATTTATCAATTTGTATTTGATTTTGATATATTTTGTGTGTGTGTTATATAGTGCAAGTCAACTCATGACTGAGTAAGATCATCTTTTACACTCAAACTATTTTAATTTTTTCACACGTTTTAAATATAATCACTTCATCGCTGATGACCTCTCAAATGGCTTTTAAGACCTGCAAGTGTCTTGCAGCTCTTCCCACATTGCTGACATGTCAGTCTTCCTGCTGCAGCTTGACTTTCTGGATGCTGGCTGTGAAAATGTTGTGAGAGTCCACTGGCTGATCAACACACTTTATGGCAGATTATACATGTATGATCATCATATCGGTAGTTGGCACACACACACACATATATATATATATAATGTATGTATATATATATATATGTGTGTGTAAATTAGTAATTAAATTTTCTTGTTCCACCTTTCAAAAAAAGAACTCTAACTAAGAATGAACTTTAGAAGTGTATGGCTCTGTGTTTCAAATAGATGGGCTGGGATGATTATTCTTTTTTTCAGAGTAATTGACTTTGGACACCCTTATTCTAACCACCCCTTTTGTTAAAAATTAAGGAAATTTGCTCTCACCTTTTAATATATGTTGAAATAAAGCAGTTTCTTGAATATTAAATAAAGGGGTGGTGTCCCAAGTCAGTTATTCTCAAAAAGAATCATCATCCTAGCCAATTTACTTGAAACTCAGAGGTGTGTTTTTATAATATATAGTTATATTTAATGCTTTTATTTATTTATATATATATATATATATATATATATATATATATATATATATATATATATATATTAACTTTAACCAAACTTAGTGGAACTTTTTTGAGTTTTTTTTTTTTTTTCTTTGAAAAAACCTAGAGATGAAACCAGTTTGTGTAAGAAAAAATAAATTTTTGTATCTGCTGTAATCATTATTTTTTATAAATTTATTTTATCTTTTAAAGGTGAATAACATAAATGTTATCCCAACATTTTTTTAAAAGATCACTAACTCTTCTGCTAGACTTTAGTCTGTATGAGAAATGCTTAAATATACCAAGGGTCACAGTTTCAGGTGGAATTGTTGATGTTTTACTTTCTTTTCTTTTTTTTCTCTCTCTTGCCAGACAACTTTACAGACTGATGAAGTGAAGAATGTGCCATGTGGGACAAGGTAAACAAATTATTTTATTACTAGCATACTACCTGTCAAAAATGACAAGATGGTGAGTGATGTTGCATTTAAATTAAGATTGTAGTTATCAGGGAAGCAAGTTAGAGGAAGGGTGTTCCACTGTCAAGAAGTGTAAGAAAAACTGCTGGAGTAGAAGTGGTGGTTGCATTTAACTATTTCAACAGTAAAACGATGAGACCTAGATGCCAATCTAGTAGCACGCTTAAATTCATGTTGTCAGAGCATCAGGGAAGATAGCTCACCAGAACAGTTGCCATGAAAATATTTGTAGAAAAGACTGACTGAAGCCATATCATATCTATGAGAGAGTGACTGAAGTCAAGATGTCAGGTTCAATTACATTATAGATCCTTCTTTGGATTTTGTTGAGAACCTTGAGATGAACAGCAGGGGCACTAGACTAGATATGGCAACAATACTCAATGAATGGATGAATGGTAGATTTGTAAATATGCAAAATGGACTCTGATGAGAAAAACCTGGTATGACACATTGAACTGTCTTTCCTTACAGAAGATTGATTCAATGTAGTTGTTCCACCTCAAATCATTGGAAAACGTGAGGCCAACAAGATGCAGTGGGGGCAGGGAAGTTTTAGCTTGAGAACTGATGACATCAGGGAGATCATTGATGAAGATCAGAAACCGTGTAGGACTCTGGATAGAGCCTTGGGGAACTCCTGTGTTCATATGGAAGGAATAGGAAGGGAGCCCGTTCAGGACGACCTTCATTTCACGATTTGATAGGAATGATTAAATTAAACCAAATAATCATCCTGTAATACCGTAACCCTGAAGCTTATGTAGAAGACCAGCATGCCAAACCCTGTCAAATGCCTTTGAGATATCTTCGCCATTATTATCAAGAGCTTGATATACATATTCAGTTATGGCTGTAAGCACATCAGTGGTAGACCAGCCAAAATGAAATCTATATTTGTCATAGAATAGATCATGAAAAGCAAGATGCTTAACCCCTTCAGCATTGATTAAAGCCTTGAAGACTTTGCCGAAAAGCAGTAGGAGACTGATAGGGCAGTAGTGATAGGTGTCAGAAGGTTCTCCACATTTCTTAAAAACTGGGATGACTGAGGAGGACTTCCAGCAGGCTGTAAAAGCAGGAAGCAGCAAGTCAATAGTTGTGTAGTTTGGAGAGAACTGGCGCTAGCTAAGGTGCACTTTGTTTTTGTTTTTGTTAAAAGAACGATGGCTTGTATCTTGTCACCACCACTTACCTTATGGGGACCTAATTTAGAAATGATGTCCAAGACCAATGACTGATCTATGCGCATATCACTCAGTAGAGCTTCTATTCTAGGGGGAGAATCAGGTGCGGGCAGACTAGATGACCCAAGTGTTGAGTTGATATTTTTGTGTAATTTTGGTAAATATATATGTTAAAATGAGATGTCAGTGTTATTTTCAATTTTTTCATGATTTAGACGACAATTTATCCATCGCACCCTGTATACACTTTAAAATGTCTTATTTTTTTTATTTTTTTATTTTTTATTGTGTGTGTTTTAGCCTTTTTTCAATTTTTTGAAGTGTGCATACAGCAACATTTGATATTCAACCTTCGGACTGCCAATTGTTTTATGCATAGGTTTTCTCTTTTTAAAGTAGATGAATTTATTAATTTTTTTTTTTTTTCTTTTTAGTGGTGGAGTGATGATTTACTTTGATCGTATAGAAGTTGTCAACAAGCTGGATATTGAAGCTGGTAAGTTGTGAATATTGGCAAAACTTACTTTATAATTATTAAAAAATGTTTTAGGCTCACAGGTTTGAAAATATAAAAATAAAATCAGTTTTTCAGCAGCACTTATTTTTAGCTTGTATGAGGGGGTGCTGAATAACTCTGTCTAGCCTACTTTCCAAAATTGATGTTATTTTTTTTCTGGGAAGTAGGTTAGGCTGAGAACTTTTCAGAACCTCTTTGTATGAATATATTTAGAAAACAAATTGAAAGAAAAAAAAAATCTTGGACCTTTGTGCCTGCAAAAAAAAACAGTGCCAAAAGGACAATTTTTCCATTGACACTGCTATTATTTTAACTACATTCACTCTTCAGCAATGTTTGTTGTGAAAAGTTTTGATTAGAATCATAATAAAACCTAAACATATGAAAGTGAATATATATATATATATATATATATATATATATATATATATATATATATAATTTATTTTATTCTTGAGAATTGGCAATAAAAATATTAATCACTATTTATTTATTAGATTGTTTATTTACAAGAATAATTTTATATTTACAACATTCTAAAAACTAATACATTTAAAACTAATGCAATATTTATCATTTACCAATTTATAAAGAAATAAATATGAAAACAATTCTGTATAAACATTTACTAAATTAATAAAATGTGTGAATTTATTGCAATTAGCCAATCTTTTGCCAAACATTCCAATAAATAATATAATAGTGTAAAGAAACAATCTAATGAATAAATAGTTTATATTTTGGTTGTCAATTCTCGAGAACAAGAAAATGTATAATATTGTATTCTAAAACTAATACAATTAAAACTAATGCAATGCAATATTTATCATTTACCAATTCATAAAGAAATAAATATGAAAACAATTTTTTTTTATTCATAAATTTATAAACATTTACTAAATTATTGAAATATGTGAACCAACTATAAGGAAATCCTTATTTGCTCTTTTATAAATATTGAATAAATTAGCAATTAACTGATGTTTTGGCAGCCATTCCAATAAACAGTTTAATAGTGTTTATTATTTTTATTTATTTTCAAGAAAAAAGAAAATGCATATGTTTAGCTTTTATTACAATTCTGATCATTGCTTTTTAAAATGATAAGCATTGCCGAAGGGTGAAGGTAGTTAAAATAATAGTGGTAGCACTTGTCAATGGAAAAACTGACCTTTTGACACTCCATTTTTATTTTTTAAAAATGTTTTCAGGCACAAGTTTGCCCCTCAAAAAACAACTTTAAATTTCAAAATTATAGCCATGTAGTTCTACTGACAAATGCTAAGAATACCACGGAATACATCTGAGCAATGAGGAAGTTTTAAGGAGAATAGGAATTACAAGGAAACTTATACTTACAATAAGGAATTTACATCTGAAAGTACATGTAAATAACAAATGCCTTTCAGAAAGTAAGCAAAATATTATGATATAGGAAAATGTCTTTAGAAAGAAAGAAAAGTGTACTGAGCTGCTATGTCATATCTTATCCCTGTCTAGTATTCATTCCTATATAAATCTTCTCACAGATGAAAAGACTTGAAGCGGCTGATATGATTCAGCTGATGAATGTTGAGATTATTATAGACTAACCATATAAAACAAAAAAAAAAAAAACAAGGATTTTTTTTTTTTTTTTTTTTTTTTTCAAAAACAGGAACTGCAAGGAAACTAATATTTACTATTGGAGAGATGGAGTTGAAATTTCTTGTGCACATAACGAAGAAATATGGCCTGGAAAATTTAACTCTCACATGGCATATTAAAGACAAAGAAAACAGAACAGCCTAATTAATTAGTTTTCATGAATGGATTGCAAAAGAAGGCTAAATTGGGAAGGTAAAGAGTCAAAGGTTATTTGGGGCAACAGCAAACTGTGAAGAGCCATGACTGTCCATGTCCTGAAAGAAAAAATATATAAAAAGTGCTCTAATTTTGAAATCCTATACAATAAATCCATGCCAAGGATCATACAACATGGCTCATTCTCTTCCTCACAAAATTATTACTAATACATTGTGGCAGAATTAAACACAACTAACATGAAAACAAAAGCAATAAAATCTGGTTTGGTTTGTTTTATGGCACATCAACCTCAATGGGTTATTTAATGCTGACAAGATTTTTATTGCTGGGAATATTTTTTCCCAAAAATATATTGTTGGTATAATATTTTTCCAAAAATGTATTGCAGGTAATATTTTTTCCTTTTTAAAATGTATTGTTATATTATATATATATATATATATATATATATATATATATATATATATATCCCCCAAAAAAAAAATTATACTGCTGGTAATAATTTTTTTCCTTCAAAAATTCATTGCTAGTAATAATTTTTTACAAAAAGTATTGCTGGTATTAAAACCTACTTTTACATTTTCATAATGTTTTAACTGCCAGTTTGCGGGCAGGGTTAACTATTTGCCCATAACTGGGACCCTAACAGGTGCTACCACAACGGGTCAGGGTGTACCTGGGAACACCAGCAATTAAGAGGTGGTTCCATGTTACTTGAAACCTGATCAGAGGCCTTGCTGTTGGATGTAGTTTATCATCATACCCAGGACACAATAAAAAGCTGAACGAGATAGATTAAGTTGACCATCTACATTCATCAGATGAAATTAATGTTTAGAGCTGAACTGTAACCAGCTTTTGTTGCATTTACTTTATTACCATAAACAAATTTCAGGCAAGAAAAAATATACAAATGTGTGTTGAAAAGTTCTCAGCCATACCAAGAAGAAATTAAAAAAAAAAAAAATTGTTTGGTCCTTTGGTCAGATTTTGGGAAATGGGCTGGGTCGAAAACTTTTCAGCACCCTTTGTGCACATTGTATATTAGATAGTGTTTATATTATTTTTATTATTTATTTTGCAGTTCATGATATTGTTAAGAATTATACAGCTGACTATGATAAAACACTTATTTATAACAAAATACACCATGAGCTGAACCAGTTCTGCAGTGTGCATAACTTACAAGAGGTTTATATAGACTTATTTGGTAAGTATTTAAAAAGGAGGTCATTATTTTATTTTATTTTTTCTTTGCAATGGTGTTGGCCTTGTAACCTATATCTTTAATTTTAATATGAATTTTTTTTTTTTTTTTTTTTTTTTTTTTTTAAGGAACAAATGTAATGCTATTTATATGATGATGACATGGAAGATTATACATAATATATATTTAGCCTTTATACTGGGAATTAGGTTGCAGCAAGTCTAACAGTTCTTTTGTAATCTGACTTTAACCTATTTAGGTTAATTTTTATAAGTATTCTCTAATATATATAGCATTTTTCAATCTTTGTATTAGTCTTTGCATTTTCAAAGTAAGAAGAAGCCTAAGTTTAATTTCTGAATTTGAAGTTCTGTCAACCTCAACAGTATTAAAAGGTATGCTCTCTCTCTCTCTCTCATAGCTTTTTATATCTTCTTATCAGTGCCAATTGCTATATTTTCTTGCCTTATCTTCCCATGAAGATAATTGACATGTCTCTGCATCATGCCAACTTTAACACCTTGAAAGGCTTCTTATATGTTTGCCATGATATTTCTGAATATAAATGTGATGGATTGATGACGGAAATAGTCAAAATACGAAGAAAA